CTGGACCATAGTCTCCAGGAATCTGCCTGTCTCTGCCTCCCCTAGTGTCCGGGTTAGAAGTACACTGCCGTGCCTGGATTGAGGAGCATTCTAGAGATCTGAACTTAGATCCTTGAGTGTTCCACGGCTTTCCCGGGAACACTGAGCCTCTCCCGGCTCCTTGTCTCATTTGGACTCATTCAGGTAGTAAGTGCCTCTATTCCTGTGACATTGCCTTGACTGGGAGCTTTGCTCATGGGTTGGATCCTCTGAGCTGCCAACGCCCCACCCAACAAAGGGCCAAAGGCACTAATCCCTGTGTCATGTGAGGACACTAGCTCAGAGAAGGAAAACGATGCCTGCGCCCTGGTCACGGAGCAATAGAAATGCTAACTGGGGTTCTAGCTCAGCACATGACATCACACTAAGCATGGTGGCTCCAGGAAGTCACTCCTAGAGACCCAGTGCCCTGTAGGTGGGAGACTGGCCAGTAAGGAAAGCAGCCTGCTGTGCCATCTTCCAGGCCCCAAGAGTGACTTCCCTGGCCTTTCCCCTTCCCCTGGGCACAGGTGGAATTGCATGCCCTCCTGTGTGCTGCCATTTTCCTCCCAGCCCCAGTTTTCTGTCCTGGGCCCCTGCAGTCACCAAGCCCACAGGGGACCTATGAAGGGCCAGGTCCCACTTGTCTGCCCTGCTGGGTAAGACCCCCCCCCCCCATAGGAGGCACACGCTCTGTCCCTGACCTTTGCCCTCCGTTCCCTCCTGAAGCCTCGAGAGCAGCTGTGGAACTCTGAAACAGAGCTCCCGCCTGGGGGAGTGCTCACAAATAGAAAGCGGCTAATAATAATAATTGTGGGTTTGAGACTCATCAGGGGCTGCAGGGCCCAGCCTCCCCTCCCCCTGCTCCAGAGGGAAGGGTCACCCCTAGCAGGAATGGTAAACTCCTCTCTCGCTCTGTCATTGGCAACACTGGGCGTTTTCCTTGGCACAGCTCAGCAGGGGCACCAGGCCGGCCATTTGCCACACAGGCACAGCATGCATTCTCAGCTCTGCCCTCGTTGCACTGGCCCAGTGTGGCCAGTGTCCCCTCGGCTCTGGCAACCAGGGGCACAGGAAGAAGGTGGAAGCCAGGTCATGCCAGAGCACACTGGCACAACTCCTCCCGAGAGCCAGCGGCCCCTGGTTAGACAAGAGGAGACTAGAGCGGGGATGTGGGGGTCACGTACAAAATGGGTGTCAGGAAGAGGGATCCCTGGGCTGAGGGCTTCCTGAAGTAGTTTTCTGTCTCCACCACTCAGATGGCACAGAGTTGTGAGGGCTGCGCATAGCAAACTCGGACAGTGCGAGGCAGGGTGGGGATGGCAGCCAGTGTAGTATCAGCTGATAGAGGGGACAGACCCCAGTCTAGATGCTGAGGAGGAGGGAAGCTACGGAGGGCAGTATGTTCCTTGAGCCTGAGAAGGTAGGGACTCACTCAACACTGGCTCGTGGAACATCCTTAGCATCCCTCTGGCCGAGAGCCCAGCCACCCAATCATCCCAGTCTGGATCTCCTTGGTGTCACACATGTACAAGCCAGGGCCCCTGCCCAAAGCCCTTCAGTACTGCAAGCCTCGGGGAAAGACCCCTTGCTGAGATAGAGGCAGAGGTCAAAGGGTAGAGGCTGTCAGCAATGGGCATCTTCATCGCTGTGGGCTGGGCCCTCCCTGCTGGCCCGTCCCCATCACAGAGGCAGAGGGGGCTGGCGACAGCACATGCACGTAGCCCATAAATATTTCTAACCACAGCCAGCACGTCTGACTGGGCAATTTGCTTTTTAAAAAATTGCGCTCTAATTTGAAGTGAACAGCCCCTAATTATGGTGATTTGCAGGCACCTGGGGAGCGGGTGGCATTTGAACAGAGCAGAGCAGCGCAGGGACTGATTGGCGGGGTGTCGCTCAGCCTCACATGCTGATAAGCCAGGGCCGCTTCCCTGGGTGGGTCTGCATCAAGACGTGAGCCTACCAGCGCCAAGGGGAGCAGGGCAACCGGGGGAAGCAAGTTGAGAGAGTGGGCAGAGGGGCTGTGGAAGGGCCTGCTTGGTCCATGCCCAACTTGTGGTCCAAGTCGCAGACTTGGTTTTGTTTGAGCCTTGCAAAGATGTTTCCTGCCCTCTCTTCATCCTTCCAGAGAAACCTGCCAGGACTTGTACTGGCCACACAGAGGCTCCATGAGCCAATGGGGCTGGAGTGGGTTTCATGTGGCCTCTTTATCAAGAACAAGAGAGTGGTGCTGGCAGCTGAGATAGGTCTCTTTCAAATAAAGAATAGGTGTGATGGCTTCTTGGGGCACAGGGGCAGGAGGACCACGGTTCAAGGCCAGCCTGGGTAATTTACTGAGACCTTGTCTCAAAATAAAACAGTATTAACAAGAGGACTAGGCTATGGCTCAGTGATAGAGCCCCTGCCTAGAATTCCCCAGTGAGGGGCTGGGGAGTGCCTCAGTGGTAGAGCCTCTGCCTAGAATCCCCCAGTGAGGGGCTGAGTGTGGCTTGGTGACAGAGTGCTTGCCTAACCTGTGTGAGGCCTTAGGTTCCATCCCTAGAACCACATTTACAGACACACACACACACACACACACACACACACACACACACCTGGGGAGGGGCAGGGGAGAGGAGACCTGACACCCAGAAGACCCTGCTGAGGGTCTGGGGCAGGGAAGAAGCCTGGAGGTCTCCTTCCACCCTGTCCCTCCCCCACCCAGCCAGCTCCGCCTGCCCCTTCCCACGGCTGCCTCAGAGTCAGCCCCTCTGACATTTCAGGAAAAACATTGCGAGTCGGGAGCAGAAGGGAGAAATGAAAGGATTTTCTCGAGAAAAGGTCAGAGTGGTTTCTCTTATTTTTGTTTAAAGATGGTTTGTGTTGAACTATGACAAGGCTAAATGTATAAGGGCCATGGGAACAGGCTGGGGGTCGGCCCACGAGAGAAACAGGAGGAAAACCCAGGTAACGAGCAAGACAGGAGACAGCTTGGAGAAACAGTGAGACAGAGCCTCACATGCCCTGACGCCCCACAAGGGCTGGGGGTGGAGTGCAGTGTGGGGACGCAGCAGCTGCAGCCCCCCAGGTTCCCTCATGCTCATGCTAGGGAGTCAGTGGCGGCCCTACTGCGGGAGCAGCCTGGCCGCCAGACCTGCGGGAGCAGCCTGGCCGC